AAAATTAAGGATCAGTTGTGCTTCACTTGGCTCCGATGCAAAATGGCAGTAATACAAAACTAGCCGTTAGTGTTAGATCATCAACCAAGACTTTAGATCCACGCTAAGTAGGTTAGGTTTGTTTTGAAGGCTACTCGTGTATCCAGATTTAAAAACAAAAATTACACTTCATAATATCACCAGTCTTTTCCTATATGCTATTTTCTCCTCGCATTTTCCCTTCTATATATCTTGACGATTTCCGTGTAGCCAGTTTGCTTTCGAAGAATAACTCAACATATAAAGGAAGTCAACTTCATTTCCAAAGTCAGAACCCTCTGAACTTTTAGGCTGCCTTTAACCGACTGGTATAACCGCATGAAAAGAATCCCGTACTATTTCATAAGAGAAAGGAAAATTCAGTACATTTACCATGTCTGTTTGGTCAACATCTTCCCCGTTTTCAAGCAGCATTCTGACAGTCTCGCATTGTCCACTGATTGAGGCTTTGTGTAAAGCGCTTCTTGATGCCTTAAGAGTAGTTTAAAAAACAGTACATGTTAAAAAAAAAAAAGGCGAGATATGAATCATAAATACCTCTTAATAACCTGGTGTTCTCGGCTCGTACATTAGTTTATAGACAGAGTTTTTATCCCTTTCGAGCGCGAAACGTTTGCACGATAACTCAAGCGGGAAAAAAAATGAGGATCCGTAATTTACAGTACAGGGCGAGAGGTATTTTCGCAATTCCAAAATCGTTTGGTTATAATTATGGCTGTTTTATTAAAATAAACTCCCCACCTTTGCCGGGTCGGACCGTATCAAGAAAAACTTTACCCTTGACCTTGACTGAACGGCTCAAGACTTCGGCCAAAGCTCTTCTTCTTCGCTGATTACAATTCGATAATAAAAAAACAGAGTAAACAGACTCGCTTTTCAGTAATAAGCACTTTTAACTTTTAAAGGGTTGTGCCGTTGCTAAGGTAACCTCTTTGCGTCACCAAACTCGCCATAATTTGCTTAGGAATGATAAGAAATTTGTTTTATACCATCAACTCATAAAGGGTAGTAACATTGATCCATGAAAGAAGCGCTAAAATGCTGGAGAGCGTTGTGAGCCACTTGACGATAGGTAGACATTATCCTCTCTATTTGACGCTATGTTTACATTTAACGCGTTCATTTTGAGTTCCACCTTACTTACTTTTGCATTTTTAGCTCTACTCTTCCAGTTCATATCGTGGGTCTTGTTCTAAAACCATAAAAAGAAGAGATGCATGTACATTTTGTTCACTACCTGCTCTAATTAATGAAAAGCTGCAAAGAACTATCAAGTTTTGTCGCTAAGACCTGATGAAAACAATAACTTCTGAAAATCTGAACATAGTCCGCAGATCTCGTTGACTTGTGGGGATATGAGCTTTCCGTTTACCAACGATTAATTTTATATAATAACTGCATGTACCTAATGCTGATTGAATCATTTTGCTTGAATTCTGTACAATGGCTTAATGCATGTGGCCAAGGCTTGCACTTAAAGCTAGGAAGGTCTTCCTTGGTTTTAAATGTTATCCATGTTTGACATGAATTCCTTACCTTTTGGCCTAGACTTAGAAGGTGACCTTTGTAGTAATAACCACCACTGTTTGCAGTTACACACTTCAAATCCACCTACGATGCAAC